GCAAATGACCTCAACTAAGCTTCTCTTGAACCTGAATGATGTTTATCATGCCTTGATAATCATCCAAGCTTCGATTTGCTTGTTGTATGTTGTTTTAAACCCAGATCTGCTCAATAAGGTCATTTAAAGCTTCTCGCATCTTACTAGCTCTAGCTTGCGTGACTGGACCTTCTTGGGTGTGTAATGGATCACATGACGTAGTAGATATGCTGTCGTCTTGATTCCCATCAACATTGTGGGCTTATAAAACTACTCATTACACACCCTCGAACAATTAAGAACGAGAATGATAAGTCAAGTTAGAACGCTACAATAATAATCTTAATAAGTTCTGTAAAGTTCTGAAACGAACCAAAGAGAAAGTCTCTCAAAATCTCCGATTCAATAGCCTCTCCCAATTAGGGTTACAAGCCCCTTTAAATAGGGAAAAATAATTCTAATCAGAATAGGAAACTAACACCCTAAGCCCTAATCATAATAACCACGAATTGGGCCTTAAATAAAGGAATGTTCAGCCCAAAATAATATTAAAAAATGTGAAAATCACTAAAAGTAACCTAAAGTAACATGAAATATCAGTTTTTTACAAATTGTGACAGAATTGCGAGATTGACGCAAACTGTGTAATTTAGCATGAATGACCTCAATTAAGCTTCTCTTGAACCTGAATGACGTTTATCATGCCTTGATAATCATCCAAGCTTCGATTTACTTCTTGCATGTTGTTATCAACCCAGATCTTCTCAATAAGGCAATTTAAAGCTTCTCGCATCTTCTTAGCTCTAGCTCGCGTGACTAGAACTCCTTGGGTGTGTAATGGATCACATGACGTAGTAGATATGCTGTCGTCTTGATTCCCATCATTCCCTCTCTCCTCAAAAGGATTTGTCTTCAAATCGTCACCTACATCAAAAGGAGAAAGAGCAGAAACATTAAAAGTAGTAGCACCAACATTATACTCACCAGGAAGCTCCAACTTGTATGCATTGTCATTAATCCTCACAATCACTTGAAATGGTCCATCGCCTCTTGGTTGCAGCTTAGAATGCCTTTGTGCAGGGAATCGCTCCTTGCGCATATGCACCCAAACCCAATCTCCAGGTTCAAATACAACTTTCTTGCGTCCTTTGTGGCTTGTTTTGCATACTGCTCAGTTCGTCGCTCTATGTTTTGTCGCACCCTCTCATGCAGTTGCTTAACCGCTTCAGCTTTCTTTTTCCCATCCAAACTAGCTTGTTCGTCAATAGGTAAATGATGGGAATCAAGACGACAGCATATCTACCACATGATATGATCCATTACATGCGAGCTAGAGCTAAGAAGATGCGTGAAGCTTTAAATGGCCTTATTGAGCAGATTTGGGTTGAAAACAACATACAACAAGCAAATCGAAGCTTGGATATTATCAAGGCATGATAAACATCATTCAGGTTCAAGAGAAGCTTAATTGAGGTCATTTATGCTAAATTACACAGTTTGCGTCAATCTCGCAATTCTGTTGCAATTTGTAACAAATTGATATTTCATGTTACTTTAGGCTACTTTTAGTGATTTTCACGTTTTTTATATTATTTTGGGCTGAACATTCATTTATTTAAGGCCCAATTCGTGGTTATTATGATTAGGTCGAGAACCTACGAGATAATGCATCAGCCACAATGTTTTGTTTTCCTTGCTTATACTTGATAACATAGGGAAACGTCTCAAGGAATTCCACCCACTTAGCATATCGTCTATTCAACTTACCTTGTCCCTTCAGGTGCTTCAATGACCCATGATCAGCATGTACCACGAACTCCTTAGACCAAAGATAATGCTGCCATGTCTCTAAAGCTCTTACCAATGCATACATCTCCTTGTCATAAGTAGGATAGTTAAGTGCTGCACCAGTCAATTTTTCACTGAAAAATGCAATAGGTCGCCGCTCTTGCATCAAAACAGCACCAATGCCAATACCTGATGCATCACATTCAATTTCAAAAGTTTTAGTGAAATCAGGTAAAGCAAGTAACGGTGCAGAAATTAGGTTTTCCATAATTAAATTGAAAGCATTCTCTTGTTCACTTTCCCACTTAAAATCCAACACTTTTTTTCACAAATTCAGTTAACGGTGCTGCAATTGTGCTGAAATCCTTGATGAATCTCTGGTAAAAACTCACCAAACCATGAAAACTCCGCACCTCAGAAATATTTTTAGGTGTCGGCCATTCTTTAATAGCCTTAACCTTTTCTTCATCTACTGTGATTCCATCAGCTGAAACAACATACCCTAAAAAAACAATCTAATTTGTGCAAAAGGAACACTTTTTAAGGTTAGCAAACAACTTTTCTTTTCTCAACACCTCTAGTACCATTCGCACATGCTCAATATGTTCAATTAAATTCTTGCTATATATCAGAATGTCATCAAAATAAACAACACAAATTTGCCAATGAAAGCACGCAAAACATGATTCATTAATCGCATGAATGTACTAGGCGCATTAGTTAATCCAAATGGCATAAACCATGTTTTGTTTTAAAGGCTGTTTTCCATTCATCTCCTTCCTTCATCCTAATCTGATGATATCCACTTTTTAAATCAATTTTAGAGAATATACAAGAACCATGCAACTCATCTCACATGTCATCTAACCTAGGAATAGGGTGACGATACTTTACAGTGATTTTGTTGACCGCACGACAATCAACGCACATACGCCAAGTCCCATCCTTC